GGGCACAGCAGGACCAGAGCTGGGTGAGAAATAACCAGATCCACCCACTCTGCCGTGGTTTGGGTGACAGTCCCGCTCCCTTAGCAGGGTTCAGGGCACAGCTGGGGCATGTTTGCTCAAATCCACCTCTTCCAGCTTTCCTGTGCCTTTCTCAGTGGTGCTATGGTGTAAATCTGAGCTGGTTCCATAGTTTCCCTGTGCCTCACACCTCGTGGCAAATAGGAAGGGGTTTTTGTAGGATTTCAAGCTCACTGTGAGCACTGAGAGTCCTCTGAAGTTATTACCCTCATCCTGGCTCGTTAAAGACAGGGAAGGCTGGTGCTTTCAGGAGGGATGGGCAATTGCAACTCGTCCTGGTGGCATGTCATTTGCTCCCCAAGGGGGAAGAAGCACCAGAAGCCTTTCAGGGTGCAGGAACTTGGGGTATCAGCCCTCGTGGCCCCAGGAGCCCTCGGCCTTATTGCCAGGAAAGAGTGGTGGAAGTTGTCAGTGGAACGTATTCCTGTGCTGACAGATATCAGTGGCCACCTGCTGCCTTCCCCAGCTGGACCATTGATCCCTGGAGGAGGAGGGTGAATGTTGGTGGATTCCCAGCAGCAGAAATCTGCTGATTGCACCAGGGATGAGTCCAGTCAGTGTGAGCTGAGGTCAGGGAGTCACAGAATGGTTTGGGTGGGAAGGGACATTAAAGACAATTTCCTTCCACCCCCTGCCATGGGCAGGGACACCTTCCACTAGCCCAGGTTGCTCCAAGCCCCATCCAACCTGGCCTTGGACACTTCCAGGGATGGGGCAGCCACAGCTTCTCTGGGCAACCTGTGCCAGGGCCTCCCCACCCTCACAGGAAGGAATTTCTTCCCAATATCCCATCTAACTCTGCTCTCTGGCAGTTTGAAGCCATTCTCCCTTGTCCTGTCACTCCAGGCCCTTGTTCAAAGTCCCCTCAAGTCCCCTTTAGGCTCTGGAGATAAACCATAATTCAGCATCCTCAGAGGGAGGTTTGCAACACGGCTGTGCAGCATCTTTGGGAGGTTTGGCTCCTGTTGAGGCCCAGGAATGAAACAGCAGGTCAGCCACCCCAGAGCAGGGTGTCATCCCCAGCAGAGCCTGCTGGGCTGGTTGGTTGGGCTGACCTTTGAGACGCAGGGAAATATTTCCTCCTTGGACTGCTCTGCAGAGATAATGACTTTTTTAATGGATTTCCTGTTCTTTTTATAGACCAAGGAAAGCTGGCAGATCACATCCAAACTGGCTTTAGTGAGAACTGGGCATGGTTATGTTTGCTGGAAAACTGATCCTCTCTTTACCCATGTTTTTCTTTGGTCTGATCCGAAGCATCACATTGGGATTCAAACAGGCTTCAGTGGGAGCAAAGGGGAATATTGGGGAGTGTAAAACAGTGATTTGTAGGTGCATGGGAACAGCCCCAAGACCTGAACTGCCCTATGATCTGATCAAAGGTCCAGTGGTGACTCCAGCAGTGGCAGGAGGAGACAACACGTGGGCCCAGTCCCTCCTGGCATCTGCTCCCTGTGGACTTCTCCAGCATCCACCACTGTTTTGCTACAGTCAGAGGGCACATTCTTCTCTCTTGCTTCTGCTGTCTCTTCCTCTATCTGTTGTCCATAAAAGCACTTTGAACCCATGGATACTCCCTGCCTCCCACATCCTGGGGAGGTAGAGATTCCCTGGTCCCACAGCACAGAGGCAGGAATTCACCTCTCATCAGCCCTGGGGGGTTTTCCTGGGCCACAGTAGGACAAGCATTTTATGTCAGCTCCTAATGAATCCTTGTGAGCAGTTCAGGACACCCTGCACCTCTGTTTCCCTAAGTTGCTCCAGTTCATTTCAAGAGAGTGATGGAATTCCCAGTGTTGGGAGCACCGATTCAAAGTCCACCCACCTTCCCAGCAGTGACCAAGATTTACACTCTGTGTTACAAAGTGGAGAGTTATCACTTTGTTCCTGGAATTCCATCTGCATTTATCTCCAGGCTGTTAATCTGACTTTCCTTTCAATTAACATTCCTCTCCCTTTCCCTCTCTGTCCTGCCACAGATCTGGGCAGCCAGTGATAGAGATCCACCTGATAAACCCTCTCCTCAGCTGATCCCTGGGCTATTGCCTTTACCATCACCTGGGCATCCCCATCCTCTTGCCAGGCACCTTCCTGTGCCACCCTGGTGCTGCTCACACCTCCACAGAGGTGTCCACTGAGCCCCCCAGCCCTGAGATCCTCACCCAGCACACAGGGACAGCACCCAGACAAACCTGCAGCCCCTGCCCCTCTCTTCATCTCTCTCTGTCCCAAGTGAGACCCCCCTGTCCAGAGGGTACCACCCCCTCCTCTGCCCCAGACCCCTCTTCCCACAGCCTCCCCTCCCTCCCCACAGGCACAGAGCAAAGAGGAGACCAGAGCAGCCACATGCAAGTCCCTTGGGAAATTTTTCTTTTAATGAAACCTAATATTCCTGTTATAAATGACCAGCCTGGAATCCAATCAAATTCTTGGTCTCAATGACTTCTTATCATATTAACATTTCACTGATCATCTCCTTATCCCTGGCCATGAGGCACAGAGAGCAGGACCCCTGCTCCCTCTCTCCAAGCCTTTTAGGAGTTCTGTCACATCCCTTTGGACAGCCAGCCCTGGCTGAACAGGCATTTCCAGGTGCCTCTTCCAGCCTGTGCAGTTTTAGGACTTTACCTGTGCCCAGATCTGCATCCAGCCGGGCCCCTGGGGATGCTCTTCAAGCTGCTCCATGATTTCCCCCTCCATCCTGATGTCCATCTGTTTTTTTGGCTGCAGCTGCCCCTGAGCAGGAATTTTGGGTGAGTATCCTCTGGCCATTGCAGTGAAATCAGCAGAGGCTGCTCCTTTTTCCAGGGCAGGATTGGAAAAGCAGGCAAAGCCTGGAACAACACAACAAATGGCTGAGGAACAGAGGTTTGCTGGGTTTGGGGCCAGAACATACACCTGGGACACCCCCAAACCTGGACATGCATCTGCACCCCCAGGACACAAAGCTCAGGGCCAGGCTGAGCCTGGGGCAAAGGGTGTGTGCTCAAATCCTCCTAATCCAGCTGTGTGAGCTGCCAGGACGGGATGTGCCACCTCCAGCTCAGCCCACACTGGTGGAGGGATCTCCAGGCACATGGCACTGCCCAGCCCTGGTCACAAACTGGGGGCAGCCTGGCAGCAGGGGCAAGGTGAGCCTGAGCTCCCCATGAGCCACGTTGTGGAAGCCCAAATGCTTTGGGACGTGGGCATCTTGGACCATATTTGCTGGCAGAAATGCTGGTGTGGCACCAGTTTCAGAAATAAGGGAGTTCAATCCGAGTTTGCCAGGAGGAGGTTCCGTGTTTCCTGAAGGAATCAACTCTCAACGTGTCCCTTGTCACTGCCCTGCTGGGTGTCTGCTGACCTGCAGCTGCAGGATCTGGCCCCCTCTGCCTCTGCTGTGTCTCCTGATGCTGTGCAGAGCTTCCAGCCTGTCTGGCAAATTAGGGAGCTGGGAGGAACTGTGGCTCCAGGATGTTGCAGAGACAGAAAGCACAAAGTGATCCGAACAAGGGGGCAAAAGAGAAGGAGGTGGCTGTGTTGGCTCTGTCAGTGGCTGTTAAACAGGGGGCTGAGCAGCCTCTGCCTTGGCTCTGAGCTGCAGTTAGCTGGGCACCAACCAGGAGAAGGACTGTTGTCTGCACATCCCATTCCCTGTGCTTTCCTCCAGTGCTCCTTGGGAGCTGTTGGTAGATGTGGGATATTGGGTTAGAGGAAGCTGAGGGCTTACATGGGCTTCCTCTCCTCAGCAGCTGAGGGAGGTTATTAAACCCTGTCTATCTGAAACCAAACACATTCAGATTCTCTCCACGCACCCCCTGCCAACCTCCCCCCCTCCCACAGCATCTGGAAGAGCAGCAGGGATGCCTCAGCTTCCCTGTGGAGGTGCAGACTACAAAGGGCAGCTTGGTGGGGTCTCCTCTTCTCTGTTTCTCTTTGCTTCTGAAGCACTGACCACATTCTCACCCCACAGCAGGGGCCAGGGCCTTTGAGCCAGTGCTTTCTGTGCTGGGGGATCCTGCCAGGCTGAGGATCCAGATGGGATCAGCACTTCTGGAACATCAGCCTCTCATCAGTGCCTGAACCCTGGACATTATGGGCCTATTTATATCAACCCAGATCTCACTGTCCAGACTGAGCCCAGCTCTTCAGACTGAGAATTTCTGTTCCAAATTTGTCTTTTAAAGTAATTCCAGCTTGCTGAAAATGCAAAATGAAACCAAATCCGTGCAGGAAGGATCCGTGCTTTCCTTGGTGAGTTGTCTCAGGCACTCATTTATTAAAGGCAGGGTGGAGGTAACAAACATGTCTCTCTTGCCTGTGGTCCAGTTCTGGTGGCACCAACAGGCTGATGTTTGGGGTTCAGGGATGGCTCTGACAGACACCACCAGTGCAGATGGACAGATGTTGTCAGACGGGTCTGGCCCTGCAGGCCTTGGGGAACAGCCTTCCTTAAACACCCAGAACATGATGGTTGTGATGCTGCTCCTCACTCTGACCCTTTGGAGCAACAAACACAGCCTGGGAACACCCCAGACAGCATGGAGTGAGCTCCAGTGGCCCAGCAGTCTTTGTGACAGGTCAGTGGACCCCTCACTGCAAGAAAGACATTGAGGGGCTGGAGGGTGTCCAGAGAAGGGCAACAGGGAAGGGGCTGGAGCAGCAGGAGCAGCTGAGGGAGCTGGGGGGGCTCAGCCTGGAGAAAAGGAGGCTCAGGGGGGACAACTCTCTACAACCACCTTAAAGGAGAGTGTAGGCAGGTGGGGGTCAGGAAGTGACAAGACAAGAGGAAACGGCCTCAAACTGCACCAGGGGAGGGTCAGGTTGGACATCAGGAGGAATTTCTTCCTGCAAAGGGTGGTCAGGCACTGGCAGGGGCTGCCCAGGGAGGTTTGGAGTGCCCAGCCCTGGAGGTGTCCCAGGAAGGCCTGGCTGTGGCACTCAGTGCTCTGGGCTGGGGGACAAGGTGGGAATCAGGCACAGGGTAGACTCCATGGGCTTGGAATTCTTTTCCAACCTCAATAATTCTGTGATTCTAGGAATGACAGGAATGTTCTGGCCATGGGCATCACGTCTGGTTCTCCTGAGCTCTGAGGATGTGTACTGCCCATTGTGGTGGCCTCTTCTGATACAAAGTGATCTGGAACTATTTTGTCCTGCTTCTCCTCTTCACTACCTCTGGATGAACCACATCTGGCCTCTCAGTTTCTCCACCCAAACTGCAGTTTGCAGCAATGTTCACACCAGCCTGGCTCACTGCTCAGTCAGAGGGCTCCTCTCTGCTGATGTATCTTGCAGAAGCTCCTGGGGGGAGCCAGGTAACTTTGGAGCTTTGCTTTAGCCCAGGTTACTTGGGAGCTTTGCTTTCCCCACCATGTGCTGTTGGGTCACTCACTGACGCAACGACACAGAGAGTTTGGAACTGCCTTGCTGGGCTCAGCTGGAAAATCCTGCTCCCTTTTTTTCTGACATTACTTGGATGAAATACAAAGTTCATTTTGACACTGGAAACCATGTAGGGAAGAGACTTACTGGGATGAAATCCTCTAGGAGAGTACAAGAACGTGTTTCTTTTTATGGCTAATCAGCACAACTTGGTAGAGGGGAGGGGAACCTTCCCGGGAAGGTCCTGGGCTGCTCTCAGCGGTTAAAGAAGAAGGACTTGAGGCTCTGTAGAAACTGTGACTTCTGTCTCTGCTTCTGCTTCTTCCTGATGATGGGGATCCACACAAGGCCACAAACAAGCAGCATCAGCCCCAGGGACAGGAAAGCCGGGCCAGACATTTTAAAAACGTTTTTCTCATCGTTCAGGAAGCAGGACAGGATGATGATGACCGTCCCGAAGAGGAAGAGGGCAGCTCCAACAGACACCACGATCACAGGCTTGTGGTAGATCTCCCACTTGCTCCTGGAGGTGCTGGTCCAGATGGACTCGCTGCGGGAGCTCATGCACAGGGTGCTCCCCGTGCGACTGGTGATGAGCTCCCTGGAGGGAGGAGACCTCTCGCTCCCATCAGGGCTCCTGGGGGGGATTTCCATGGTGGTGGGGTCTGAGGAGGTGACCTGTGATGGACAAAAGAGAAAGCAGAGCCGGGCAAGTGATGGAGGATGGAGGTGCTTCCCTTTTGGTCACCAGTAAGTGCAACTCGAAGGAAGGTGGAGGAGGTTTTGTGGGTCACTGCAGGGAACGAGGAGCATCACACCTGTGAGAGCAATGGAATGTAGGAGCTGGCAATGGGGGCCTACAGGTAGGCTGGACAGAAGATGCCTGTGAAGCCCCACTGCCCACCCAGGGACTCCTGCAGGCCCTGTCCCTGTCTTTACACCTTCCAGCTCACCAGCTCCCAGCTCACACAGGGATCCAGTGGTGGAACCCACTACCTGGAACCTCCCCAGGCTCTTGGCTGCTTCCAGGGGAACAGCAGGGTGCTGCAGGCAGGGCTGGTGATGCTGGCTCTGTCCTTGGACCTGCCTTCCCTCCCAGATCCCAAATTACACCCCAGCACCTCGTGACATGGTCGTGTGTCCCTTTTGCAGGTGGAGAAACTGAGACACAGGAATGTCATGTCAGGAACACTCTGGGACAGCAGAAAGCCCCTTCCCATGGGCTGAAGGTTCCTTCAGACCCCCGGGGCTGGATATTCCTCACTGCCACACCCAGCCTTGTAGCAGCTGCAGCACAGGAGCTTCTCACTTCTACCTAAATGCTCAGATGGGAGATGGGAAGTCCTGGTCCCACGGGACTTGTTTCTCCAGCTGTGAGCTTGGGCAGGAGCTGTGGGAGGGCTCCTGGGACAGCTGGGTCAGCAGTGTGGCTTCTGGTACATTAGTTTTTCATCAGCTCAAAGGGTAAATACATTTTCCCAGTAATAAAGTGCCTTTAGCACTGAGAAAACATTATGGGAAATGGGAAGGGCTGAGCATTATGGCACCCACTGCTTGCTCAGGGCTCTGCTGAGGGCACTGCAGGGGTCTGGACTGGGAAGTGTTCCTGCTGCTGGGAAGTTCAGCAGGGATGAGCCCGTGCAGATGCCAGGGCTGAGGAAGGCAGGAGAGGGATGTGGATGCTTCACACCCAGGAATTAGATTTGTTTTTGCAAAGCAAACTCCTGCCTGAGCTGCCAGGCTTCCTCCCGGGGGCTCAGTGGTGTCAGGAGGGCTGGGACTGCTCTGTCCTCTGCTGGGCCCACCCTTGGGGCAAAGGGGTGCTCTGCAAAAGCCTGGAGCATCTCCCTTGTGCTTGCACCACCAAGCAGAGCCTGGTGGTTGCTGCCAAGCCCAAGCTGTCCCCATGGGGCTCCCCTGTGCTCCCCAGCAGTCACATCCATGCTGGCCTGGGCACAACACCCCAGTGGGGCTCTGTGCCCTCTGCACTGCCAGGCACAGCTCTGCCTGAGCACCACATGAGCTTTGGGCCTAAGGGGGCTTGATCCTGAGCAGGTAATTTAATGTCCTGCTTTGGGCTTCATTTGTCTGGGTGTTTGCTCAGCCCAGCCCTGCTGCTGGCCCATGGAGTGGCTCTCCAGGAGCTTCACATCCCGGCTGATCCCAGGCTGGATGTGCACCCTGCCTGTGGCTGCAGCAGCTGTGGAGGAGCAGCCCCAGCTCTGTTGCCATTGCTGCTGATCAATGTGAGAGCAAACACCACCTCAGTGCAGCCACATGGGGCTGGCACAGCTCCAGAGGCACCATCTGAAGGAAACCTGCCCATATTCCAACCCTACTGGGCCCAGTGCCCATCTGTGGATGCTGATGGCTGGGTTCCAGCCAGCACCTCCCTTACTCTTTCACCTGTGTCCCTATCAAGGTTTGTGGCTCACTCTGAAAAGAGATGTAATTTTTCAGTTTAGTGCCCCCCAGCACAGACAGTGTTGCAGATCTGGTGACCCAGCTGTCACAGGGCAGGGCACTTCAGTGTCCTGCTGCTGCCCAGCTCAGGAGCCCTCCCACAGCACCAGCCCCTGCTCACAGCTGGAAAAACAACTGACGGTATCCATGTATTTTGGGATGTTTCAGGTTTGCCAGACCAGGACCAACAAGCAAAAAATGAAAGCCAAGAACAATGGACAACATTTACATCCCTCCTGTCTTTGGTTTTCACTCCTCTCTGTTGGAGCAGAAAAGACAGGGAGAGAGGAGGGGACACATTTATGCCATCTTGGTAGAATCCCATAGAATCCCACAATCCCTGAGGTTGGAAAAGCCCTCCCAGCCCATGGAATCCCCCCTGTGCCCGATGCCCACCTTGTCCCCCAGCCCAGAGCACTGAGTGCCACGGCCAGGCCTTCCTGGGACACCTCCAGGGCTGGGCACTCCAAACCTCCCTGGGCAGCCCCTGCCAGTGCCTGACCACCCTTTCCAGGAAGAAATTCCTCCTGATGTCCAACCTGAGCCTCCCCTGGCACAGCTGGAGGCCGTTCCCTCTCCTCCTGTCCCTTGTTCCCTGGCAGCAGAGCCCGACCCCCCCCGGCTCCCCCCTCCTGTCAGGGGGTTGCAGAGCCAGAAGGTCCCCCCTGAGCCTCCTTTTCTCCAGGCTGAGCCCCCCCAGCTCCCTCAGCTGCTCCTGCTGCTCCAGCCCCTTCCCCAGCTCTGTTGCCCTCAATACATGATATGTCTTCTACAGCCCTTGATCAGGGATCACCAAGGACTTGACCAGGCAGGTAAGTTTGGTCATAGTAGCAAGTTGTGGTTTCTGTTCTTTGTCCTTTTGAGCTGCTAATCCCACCTCTGCAAACTGGACTATTGCTGCTCCTCCTTTTCTAGTGCAAATCCTCCTCTTCTAGTGTCAATCAGACTCCTCCTGAAATGTCACCCTGGAGTGGCATTTTTTGCCTTTGTCCCTGTAACATCTCTCATGGGGAGGTTTTATGGTCAAGCCACGGTACAATTGTAATTTGGCTCTGTGGTTGGAAATGTGATTTATTCTCTGGAATAATCCCCAGATCTCACACCTCAGCAGTCTAATCCAGGCTGTCCTGTCCTGGATTTAGGACACCTCACTCCCTGCTTGCCCATGGGCTGTGTCCTTCCTCTGTATCCAGGGGTGCTCTGAGCTCTGTGTGTTGTGCAGGGAGTTAATATCAGGCTGAAACCATCATCTCCCTTTCAGCTTTCCATTTCCTCCAGAGTGGATTTATTCCCTCCTTTTATTTTCTGGCAAAGCCACCCTTCTCACCACAATTCCCAGACAATGCTCATTTCTCCAGCACTTCCTGGCAGAGCATCCTTTTTTGGTCACACTTTTCCCATTGTTAGCTGGGGAAGGATTCCACTCCCTGCCACTGCCTGGGAGCTTGTTTGGAAGCACTGAAAGGATTTGCAGCTCTTGGGAGAGTTAATGCAATTCCAGTTCCTGCCTTGCCCGTGCTCCATCCCTAATTCATCCCAGATGTGCTCAGATTTGATGGTTGGCCTGAGCAGTCTGGCAGCAAAGTGCTATCAGATTTCTCCCAGTTTTTTTAACCACCGTTGTTGGAAGGAGAGAATCAGCAGATGACTCTTTGCTGTCCTGTCTCAGATTTCACATCTGGTGTGTCTGCTGTGCTGCTGAAACCCTGGCAGCTCTCGGAGCTGGAGGTAACACCAGGATCTTTCCTTTCCCACTCCATCAGGAAGAGCCTCATGTGATTCTGTTTCTCCCCCCTTTGCTCTCCCAGTGCTTTGTGTGGTGATGTTTGGTTTCTGAACTGGGAAATCTTGGGGTCCTGTTTACTGGTGCTGCTGGGGACCCCAGTGCCAAAGCACAGCACACCCCTGGGTACCACCTTGGGGACACTGGGGACATTCTGTGGTGGTGCTGAGCAGGAGCTTTGGGCTGAGCAGAGCACCTGAGGGCTCTGTCCCAGTCCCTCAGCCCATCCCACGGATGCCATTCCTCACCTGCCAGCCCTCAGGAGCAGTTCTCAGCCCTGACATCCCAGTCAGGACCTGGGATGCTGGAAAGGACCTGCAGATGTGACCAGAGCTGTGCCAAAAGTGGGGGGACAGGCCCATCTGAAGACTCTGTCCCTGTGCACAGCCCTGAGCCTCCCCAGCCGTGCAAGAGCTGGATTTACTGCCCCAGTCCAGTCTTCAGCCTGGCCATCTCCTTTTCATCTGGGGAGGCAGCCCTGGTGCTTCAGGAGCTCCTACATCTCCTCTTAAGTCCTCACTGCAGCAGTTCCTCATCCCACTGTGCATGGCTGGGGACACCAGAGCTCCCCCAGGGACTTGTGTCCATCTCCACCTGCATCTTCCTCATGGAGACCCCTCTCAGTGTCCCAAAGTGCAGCTGGTCTTTGCCCTGGGACTCAGCAGGTGCCATCCCATGGAAGCACTGGTGGTGGGGCAGGTGAGGACCTGCCCTGGTGCAGAGCTGTGGGTGCTGGTGGGGTGCACAAAGGCTGCAGCTCTTGTCCCATGTTTCACCACACAAACCACTGAGGGAAAAGCTCAGGATTTTGCAAACCAACCACCAAATACTGCTGCAAATCCAGGCCAAGTTTATGGGTAGATTTTACTCCCTTCTCTGCTGTTGAGCCACTGCCCTGAATAAAGTTCCTCACTCCACCAGGCAGCAGCAGAAACTCCTCTCCTAAACCAGATTCCCCTCCAGCCCCACATCCCTCCGGGAATCAACAGCCTCAGAAAAGAAAATTCTAAGGAAATCCCAGAGTGAGCTGAGCACTCCATGGATGTGGCTCGCCCTGATTCCTGCTGGGGAGAACCAAAGAGACCAACCTGGACTGAGGGCCAGGCTTTTCCTGAGGGCTCAGACCCTGCCAGCTGTCCCCAAGAAGACAAAGGCAGTGAGTCCTGGCACCAGGACCCCAGACTGCTGGGTTGGGTGGGTGCTGTGGAGAAGTTGGGTGGAAGTCACCTGGACACAGGTGTGCACACACTTCCCCCACCTGGCTGTCTAAGGTCCAGATAGTGCCCCACAGAGAGGGACCCCCAGACCCTCCCCTTTGCTCCACAGCTCTCCAGGGTTTCCAGTGGCCTCCAGATGGCTTGTGATGGTCCCTGGCAAACAGCAGCATCAGATGCTCTGCAAAGCCTCTGGGAAAGACCCAAAGGGTTTGTCTGTCCTTCAGCCAGAAGATGTGCCCAGTCTGCCACCCTAACGGGGCAGCAAAGTCTTCACTGGTGGGTCCCAGCTGGGAGGAAACCGGGGAATGGAGGAAAACCAAGATGTGCTTTTTGGGGCGTGGCTTTTCCTGCTGCTCTGGAGGGTCTCAGCAAGACTCTTTGATCAGTCCTGATGTTTAAGCTCAGCAGAGACCCCCTGAGATGACACTCCTGGTCTGTGTGTGCCAGGAGGAGGTGGCTGCATTCATGGACATGTGCACACACACACTCAGCAGAAACTTTTGGTTAGATGTCAGTGCTGCCAAATTTAATGGAGAGTGGATGTCAGTCAGGGTCCCAGGGAGGGACAGGTATGAATGACCCAGCACACCTGAGGGTGGAGGTGGGGACCTGTCCTGCCTGATGCTGCCCCATGAAGAGCATCCCCACAGCCCCAGGTCTGCCTGGGGTACCTGCATGGGGAGGGGCTGGGGGGGAACAGCTCCCAGTTCCTGTGCCAGGGCAGGGAAACCCCCAGGAGGGACCGAGTGCTGACCCACTCCCCATGCTGTGCCTCTCAGAGCCCTCTCCCCCTGCCAGACCCCTCTGAGCCCATTCACCTTGCTGTGCCCCTCTGAGCCCACTCCCCACACAGTGTCTCTCTGAGCCCACTCCCCACACAGTGTCTCTCTGAGCCCACTCCCCATGCTGACCTCGCTCCCCACTCCATGTCTCTGATCCCACTCACCCTGCTGTGCCCCCCTGGCCCCACTCACCATGCTGTGCCTGTGTCCTGGCTGTCACTGGGCTGTCCTGGCTCGCTGTGGAAGGGGAGGTGGCCACTTGCCCTCACCATCCCCTGAGCACTCCACGGAGGGACCCCCCCACCAGCTCCTGTGGGCACAAGAGCAGCACTTCAGAGCACCCAGCTCTCTGCCACCACGTGCCAGCCCCAGGAGGGCTGGTTCTGCTGGGCTGGGCAGGCTCTGCCCTGGGGGAGGGCAGGGAGGTTGTGTTGGTACCAGGGATGTGCTGAAGCCCCACGTCCCTGTCCCCCTGGAGAAGGAGGGGCTGGCAGTGGCTGGTGCTGCTCCGAGACCCGGCTTGGGGATGTGAGGCAACACATCAGGGGGTTTCACATCACCTACAACCCCACCAGGTCTCAGGTGGAAATTGAGAAGGAACCAGTGTCCCTTTGCTGCTGAAGTGCAGCTGGGCTGGGCCCAGGCCCCTGCATCCTCAGGAGCAGCTTTCCAGCATCACCCAGAGTTTGGATGGTCCCAGCAGCACGTTCAGGGACCTGCTGAGCAAACAACACCTGCAAGTCCTTTTAGGGGCTCAGTGAGAGGGTGACCCCCAGCCTTGCCGTGCTGGATCTCCTCTCCCTTTCCACCACCCCCAGAGCCAAACCCATGGACACCCATCCTACTTACGTGGAGAGCAGTGAGGGCTGGCTGCAGCAGGAGGTCTCCCTCTCCAAAGCCAGGCTCATCCCAAGCCCCTCATCCCTCTGGGTGTTGTCTACCGGGCTCTGTTGAGTCTAATAAACAATGGAGCATCCCAGCTCCGATGATCTCACCAGCCTATCAGTATATTGCTTAACTCCTTCTTTCCCTGCCTCTGCCTCCTTGAGAGCTTCCCTGGGAGGGTTTGCTAAAAGGCTGTGGTTTGGGAGGCAGGCCAGTGGTGTGGCAGGAGAGGCAGGGCGGGTCGGTGCTTGGAGCAGGAATCCAGAACTTGGGGCTGATGCTGATCCGGACTTGGATCATCAGCAAGTTCCTGAAATGTCTCTGAGCTGCAATTTGTGCCCTCTCAAAGCAGGCAATCAGAGCCAGAGACTGCAAAGTGCTTTGAAGCTCATCAGTGAGACATTAGAGGGATGCAAGATATTAGCAATTATCTATTAATTAACATCCTGAGTCCATTATTGGGATGGAAGAGAGAGCTGGTTCTGGAATACTGTCTCCTTTCAGGAACCCACAGCCAAACTTCAATCCCCTCTTACATCACTGTGAATCCACTTGCCCAGGGAAGGGATCCAGCCTGGATTCCAGACACTGCTGGTGTCCAGGGCCTGCTTCCAGTGGTGGTGGGGCTGCCTCCATCCCTGAGGGCCTCTTGTTGGTTTGGTGCAGTGAGTTACAGTGTCCAAGGTGCACCACAGCCCTGGCCAGATGGGATGGGGTGGGATGGGAAGAGGCTGTAGAGTTCCCATGGAGATGGACATGACCCACAGGTGTGTTCAGCTGGGCACAGAGCATCCCACAGCAGCACTTGGGGAAGAAAGAGGGGTCCAGAGGGTCAGGGTGGGGGGATACCAGCTCATCCTGGTGTTGGGAGCTCAGCCAGGAAGGCCAGAACCTGGCTGAGGCACTTCAGCTCAGCTCTGTGTGGATCTCTGGCCAGATCTCTGGCATGGGACAGGTCATGGAGCTCTCCAGGAAGGGGCAGAGGTGGGATGAGCTCAGGTTCCTCATCCATGGTCCATCTCATGTCCTGCTGGGAGGTGGGTGAGTTCACTGAGCACAATGGCTCTGGAATAATGGAGTGAACTCCACTATCCATTGATCTGGGAACCTGCAGCCAAAGGAACCAGGTGTTTTGGGGGAATCCAGGGAGGATTTATTGGAACAGATGAAAAGATTCTCTAGAATGGGGAGAGCTGAGTGGACTTGGGTTCCCCAGTGCAGGTCCAAGGGGGGGGAAGTTCTCTGACCTAAAGAAGCAATTGGCATAAAAAATAAGATAAAAATAGAGGTGGGAAGGCTTCATTTCAGCACCTGCAGCATCACTTCACACCCTGGTTTTACACCATCTCCAGGCTGAACTGAGATGCTTCTGCCCTGTTGGGGAACATCCTGTGGTTCAGCAGCATCCTGTGGTTCAGCAGCTGCCCCATCACACGGGGCATCTCATGTCATCCCCCCCTCGATTTGCCAAGTGCTCCCTGCAGTGTCCCTGGGACCTCTGTCCTGCCCCAGGGACCAAGCAGGAGGCAGGAAGGGGCAGGTCACCAACGCTGGGATGCCAAGGTCACCTGAGCAAGGCACCAAGAGTCGGACATTCCCCAGAGATGGCTCCTGCCGCCGCAGGGCTGAGGAACATTCCCCGGAGGTACATCCCTCCAGGGCCGGGACACGTCCCGTGGGGCCATCCATGGGCTGGATTGGCTGAACGAGCCGGGAATCGCTCCCAGCCCGTCCCGCAGTGGGTATCTCACCCTTGCCCGGGCGGGCTCATCCTGCCCGTCCCCTCGCAGCCCATCCCCGGCCCCTCGAGCCTCCGGCCGCGGCTCCTCCGCTGTCGCTGCTGCCACCGCGTGGGGACACGGGGACACCGGCACGGGGCTGAGCTCACAGAGACAAGGGGCGGATTCTGCCCCTGGAACGGGACAACAACGGGCGGACTGGGAATGAGATGCTGGAAAGCAGAGCCGGGAAAGGGCCCTGGGGGTCCTGGTGGTGCCAGTTGTCCCTGAGTCAGCAGTGCCCTGGCAGCCAGGGGGGCAACCCTGTCCTGGGGCATCAGGGAGGGGATTGTCCCGCTCTGCTCTGCCCTGGGGTGGCCTCACCTCAACATTGGGGCAGTTTGGGGGGACACAATGGAAGGAAGGGATTGAGCCATTGGAGAGTGTCCAAAGGAGGGAAGGAGGATGGGGAAGGGCCTTGATTTGAAGGTGTGTGAGGACACTGAGGGCACTTGGTGTGTTCAGCTGGAGCAGAGGACACTGAGGGGAGACCTCAGTGCAGTTCCACCTTCCTGGGCAGGGGCAGAGGAGGGGCAGGGACTGAGCTCTGCTCTGGGGGGACCAGGGACAGCAGCCAGGGAAGGGCTGGAGCTGTGTCAGGGCAGGCTCAGGTTGGACCTCAGGCAAAGGTTCTTCCCCCAGAGGCTGGTTGGGCACTGACCAGGCTCCCCAGAAACCTGTTCTCATTTGGAGGATCTACTCAGTTTGAAGGGACCCCCAAGGATCATCCAGTCCAACCCTTAGCCCTGCACAGGCCCATCCCCAAGAGTCACCCCCTGTGCCCCAGAGCATCAGCCAAACCCTCCTGGAGCTCTGGCAGCCTTGGGGCTGTGCCCACTGCCCTGGGGAGCCTGGGCAGTGCCCAACCAGCCTCTGGGGGAAGAACCTTTGGCTGAGATCCAACCTGAGCCTGCCCTGACACAGCTCCAGCCATTCCCTGGCTGCTGTCCCTGGTCCCCCCAGAGCAGAGACTGGAGCTGCCTCTTGGGAAAAGCTGCAGATCCCAGTGAGGTCTGACCTCCATCACCTCTTCTTCATCTAAACAAACCTCAGCTACTCCTCATGTGGCCCCTCCAGGCCCTTCACCACCTTCCTGTCCCTCCCTTGGACACTCTTTAACAGCTCTACATATTCCTTATATTTCTTACATTGGGGTGACAACCAATTTATTCTGCTATAAAAACGACATGCTCTGCCACAGTATTTTCTGGTGGGAGAGGAGAGCACTTTCCCATGAGTGTGGAACTGCTGGAGGGTATGGCCAGGAGAAGGGAGAAGGCCCAGGCTGGATGGAGCCAAGCTTGGTAACCTGCCCAGCTGTTGTGGCTCCTGCAGCAGTAGATGGTGCTGTTGCCCTGCAGGATTACAGAATCACAGAATCACAGATCAACCAGGTTGGAAAAGACCTCTGAGATCATCCAGTCCAACCCATGACCCAACCCCACCTTGTCACCCAGACCATGGCACTGATGCCACATCCAGGCTCTGCTCAAACACCTCCAGGGACGGGGACTGCACCCCCTCCCTGGGCAGCCCATTCCAAGGGCTGATCCCTCTCTCTGGGAAGAACTTCTTCCCAATGTCCAACCTAAACTTGCCCTGGTGCAGCTCAAGGCTGTGCCCTCTTGTCCTACTGCTGGTTCCTGGGAGCAGAGCCCGACCCCCCCCCGGCTGCCCCCTCCTGTCAGGGAGTTGCAGAGAGTGAGAAGGTCTCCCCTGAGCCTCCTCCTCTCCAGGCTGAGCCCCCCCAGCTCCCTCAGCTGCTCCTCACAGCACTTGTGCTCCACACCCTTCCCCAGCCCCGTTGCCCTTCTCTGGACCTGCTCCAGCCCCTCCATGTCCTTCCTGAGCTGAGGGCCCAGAGCTGGACACAGCACTCGAGGTGAGGCCTCAGCAGTGCCCAGTCCAGGGGCACAATCCCTGCCCTGCTCCTGCTGCCACACTGTTCCTGAGCCAGGCCAGGATCCATTGGCCCTTCTTGGCCACTTGGACACCCCTGGTTCTGGTTCAGCTTCCTGTCAAACAGAACCCCCAGGTCCCTTTCTGCAGGTTAAACCTAAATCAACAGCTCAGGAATACTGGATCCATCCCAGGCTTCTGCCAGGGAACCTGCTCACTTCCAGACCCTCTTCCCCTCTCCCCAGCAGTGGCTCTCTGGAAACCTGCAGTGGAGCTGGGCAGGGTTTGCTGCTGCACGGCTGGACCAGCAACCCCATTCCAAGGGTCCCAGGACACAGCAGCCCTTTCCCTCTTGTTCGTCTCACGGCAAAGGGACCTTGGATATTCCAAAGAGTCACCAGGGAGCCCTGAGCAAAGCTGGTGGTGGCCAGTGCCCCTGGGATGGCCTTCCTCCCCTGGGATGCAACTGGACCCTCACCTCCAGTCATGGCTTGTGTGATAGCTCTGAAGTCCAGCATGGCTGGGGCAGGGATTTCCTGGGCAATGTCCTGGAGCATCAGCAATTCCTGTCTGGAGCATCTCAGCATTCCCAGGTAAAAGCTCTGCGTCCTCAGCCCCTCTGAGCCAAGTCCTGGAGCTGCAGGGAGGGAGCAGCCAGGCCCTGAGCAGGTCTGTGTCACAGCACAGCTTGGCCTGCAGGTGGATGCAGGGGTTTGGTGTGGAGGTTTTTTTTCTTGGCTGTAGAGACAATATTGCAGAAATAGTATTTTCCAGTTGGAAAATTCTAAACCTGAAAAGGGAGATGAAGCAAACTCTTGTTTTATGTCAAACTATAGTGGAAAATCTAAAAGGTTAATTAACAATTTGATTTCAAGATAGTAAAGGGGTGTTTTTGGATATGGAAAAGGGGCTAGTGGGCAAATGCAGCCCATGAAGGGTGTTCAGCTGTATCACAGTAGAAGCCATGTGAGAGGGAGCTCAGAGGGGTCAATGGTCTGTGTGGGGCTTTTGTTTCAGGAGGGTTGTACTGGGTGATCTCCAGAGCTCCCCTCCAACCCCAACTATTCTGTGATTCTGTGAGTTTTGGGCTCCTTTGTGAAGTTTTTGCAGAGCAACGAGAGGACCTGAAGCATCTTCCAGCCTTGCTCATGGCCTGTGGGGGCTTTCCCAGGCCTCCCAGGCAGAGTCATCTGCAGCTGAACATGTGGGAGCCATGCAGGAGGATGGAGAGATCTGTGTCAGCCAGGCTGGGCACGGAATGGGGGAATCCAGGCAGGAATCCAGGCAGGGAGAGGTGGCAGGGGACAAGTCTGGTGGGAGCATCTTGGTGTTGCAGAAACATGTCATGTC